CTGGAGAGCTGGCTTGGCAGTTTGTGACACCTGTTGCTCTTCCAGGACCTGGACTGGTTCCCAGCACCCACACTGGCAGCTCCCAGCTACACCCAACTCCAGTCCCAGGGGATCATACACCTCACATACTCTCATGCAGACACAACACAAACAAATAGATGAAATCCTTAAAGGAGGCAATGACAAAGGACAAAGGAGGAGGACACGGTGGTGGCAGCAGCTCCAGGGGAGTTGATGACCTCTTCTGGCTCACATGAAGGTCAAATAGCTTATCTTTTCCATCAACTCAAAGCAGCAGACTTGAAGGGCAAAGCACCAGCCCAATCCTATCTACTCTTAAAGCCTTAACTCCACCAGAACTCTTAGATCTGACCAACACTTTCTGCAGTGGTAAGACACAAACACACAAAACTGTTCTACATACCAGTGACTAATACAGAGAGAAATAAACACCTTCACAGTAGCTTCAAATGACAGAAAAAAGACCTGGGAATAAATCTAACTAAGGAGCTAAAAGGTTGCTATAATGTACACTGTAAAAGAAATGAAGCCATTAGAAGATGGAGGGAGCCTCTCCCACCATGGGTCAGCAGGACTAACTATGTGCATATGCTATACTACTAAAAGCAATCTGCAAGTCAATGCAAGTCACCACAACTTCCATGGTATTCCTCACAGAAACAGAAGATCTGCATCTAACACTTACATGCTATTAAAAAAAAAAAAAAAAAAAAAAACAAAAAAAAAACCCCCCCCCCAAAAAAAAAAAAAAACCCACGGGCGCAGCTAGTATGCAGGTTTCTCAAAAAACTAAAAATAAAACTACCATATGACCCAGCCATTCTATTCCTGGCTGTCTACTGGAAGGGCTCTCAGTCAGCATACCACAGCCATGTTTTCTGCTGCACTGTTCGTAGTAAGGAGCACGGGGATCCAGCCTAGACAGACATTAGCAGATGAATAAAGAAACTGTGCCAATATCTACACAAATGAATTTTATTCAGAAATAAAGAAAGTGAGTTAAGCAGACCTCCTGAGTTCGAGGCCAGCCTGGTCTACAAAGTGAGTCCAGCACAGCCAGGGTTACAGAGAAACCCTGTTATTAACCCCCCACCCCAAAAAAAGAAAATGAAGTCATGACCTTTCTAAGAAAATGAATGAAACTAAAAATCACATTAAGGAAAGTATAAGACTCAGAAAAATAAACCTGTTTCCTTCCTTTCATATGCAGAGACTACAGACACACACAGACACACACACAGACACACACACACACACACACACACACACACACACACACACACATACTAAAAGACAGACTAAGAGACAGTGTGAGGGGAATGAGAGGGCAGGAAACAATCTTAAGAAAGCTGGAACCAGCCAAAATGAGGGCACGGGGCAGTTCAACAGGTGAGAACACAGTATGATGACACACATGTAAAAAGATGCCATAGCCAGGAGCATGGCGTACACCTGTAATCCCAGCACCTGGAGGAGACTGAGACCAGGCTGTGTTATCCCAAGGTGCAGCATAGTGAGACCCTAAAAGCCCACAAAGAAAAAATTAATAATGAAAAAGAAATGAGGAGGCTGGAGAGATAGCTCAGAGGTTAAGAGTGCTGGCTGCTCTTCCAGAGGACCTGGGTTCAATTCCCAGCAACCATATGATAGCTCCCAACCATCTATAGTGAGATCTGGTGCCCTTCTGCTGTGCAGATGTACATACAAGCAGAACATTGTATACATAATAAAATGTTTAAAATAATAATAATAAACAAATCTTTAAAAAAGAAAATAAGGAGAAATGAAGTATCCCTGAATAAGAAATACCAATTCCTCCTTAAGAAAAAAAAAAAAAAAAAAAAGCTCCAACTCTGAGTTAGAGCACAGACTAGTTTATATGAGTTTTAGGATAATCAAGGCTATGAAGAGACCCTGTCTCAAAAAAACAAGAGGGCTAGAGAGATAGCTCAGGGGTTGGGAATATTTGCTTGGTCCAGGCCTGCTGACAGGCTCACGCCTTTGGTCCCAGTAGAGGCAATCAGATCTTGATATGCTGCCTCAAAACAAAACCAAGAATGTCTGCAGCTCCTGCAGAGGTTCCTACCACCAACACTGGGCAGCTCACAAAACTGCCAACTCCAACAGCCAGGGCTCTGATACCCTCTTCCCAACCACAGATACCTGCACAAGCTACCTGCACACAGGTGCGTGCTCATCAAGAAAATTAGAAAGTAACTATTAAAAAAATATCTTGAGAGAAAGAGGCAGGCAGATCTGAGCTTGAGGCCAGCCTGGTCTACAGAGTGAGTCCAGGCCAGCCAGGGCAACACAGAGAAAGCCTGTCCTGGAAAACAAACAAAAATTTGTATGTAACCTTAAAAAATAACAATTCTAAACCTCACCCCACCTTTTGCGTTTTGTTTGTTTTTGAGACAAGGTCTTATGTAGCAGATGCTGGCCTCAAACTTGGCATGCAGTCCTGGAACTAACACTCTTCCAGAAGCAAAAAAGACCCAACAGGCAGCAACTAAGGAAGAACGAAAGGTGTGCTCTGCTTTACAGTCCTAAAGGATAGAGTGCCCCATGCAGAGAAAGCATGATGGCCAGAGGATGTGGGGCTCACAACCTGTAACCCAGACCTAGAAATCCAGGGCCCACTTCCAGCCTCCACAGCCGCCTGCTCGGGCGCGCGCGCACACACCCACACATCCACACACACACAGAATCCTATCAGTTATCTCAGTACTTGAAGGCTGAGAAAAAAGCATCACCAGTTTGGGGCAACACAGTGATGGCTTTTGTCAAAATAAAAACAAGTAAGCAAGTAATGAAAACAAAACTTCAGGGCTAACGATGCACCTCAGTGGTAGATCGCCTGCCCAATAACCTGGGCCCTGCGTTCAATCACTAGGAAAAGGGAAGCAGAGGGAGAGCACAGGGTAGGGGAGGGATGAACGAATGACTCTATGACCTGTGGCCACCTCAGGGAAAGTCATTCCTAGCTCCCTTTGTGAGCAAAACTTTAGGGCATGGGGTGGCCCACAGGTAAAAGCACAACTACCAAGTCTGGTGACCGGAGTTCAATCTCCAGGACAGAAAGAGAAGCAACTCCTGTAACCTGCTCTCAGACCCCACAACTGTGCTGTGGCGGTGTGCTCTGCCCCACCACAAAATGACTTACATGTGCTATCAAAAAACAATGGCCTCGGGGCTAGAGCGCCAGCTCAGAGATCAGAAGAGCTCACTGCTCTTGCAGAAGATTTCAGTTCAGTTTCTAGCACCTATGTGGCGGCTCACAACCACCTGTAATGACAGTTCCCGGAGGTCCAATGTCCCCCAGACTTCACAGGCACCCACACGCAGATAGCATGCACGAATTCACAAAGGTATGCACATATACACATAATCAACCTTTAGAAGTCAAATAAACTTGAAGGAGCTGTTTATTTATCCTACAATTTCTCTTATTTTCTCCTTTTCCCTCACCTTCTTGGTTTAAATTAAGTTTTCATCTCTACACTCAAAGTCCTTGTCAAGGCTTTCAGTGACGTTGCTGCTAACCCCAGGTTGTGTTTGTCTGCAGCAGTTATAAAGTTAGCACAACACAACGAACCACAGTGCTTCTAGAGAAATATGTTGTCTTCTACACATATCCATGGTCAGAGTACTGCCTGGTTTTAAGATTCAAGACACCTTGTTTGATATATAATAGTTAATTCGTTGCCACTGACTGGCAGTAAATAGCATTACAGTTCATTTCTGTTATCTGACACATGTACTTTCTCTAAGGCACGTCACGGCCTTCATGGACTTACAAGCCAGCATCCTTACCAGCAGCACCAAATGCACTGACTAGAAAACAGAAACGATGTTTACACAAGAAGGGCAGGACCAGAAGTCAGATCCCGGATCTTATCCCTGACGAAACTCACATCTCTGTAGTCTCACCTACACCGTGACCGCTTACTGAAAACAGACACTGCTCAGAGTTCCCAGACGCTCTGCTCTGCTTTTCTCCTTTGCCCTTTTCTTTCTGTTTTACATTTGGGTGACCTCTACTAGTTGACTCTTTCTTCAACCCTGTCAAGTCTAATAAGTCCTCACACCACCTAATTATGCTACTTTTATTCTAACATTCCTACATTATATCCAATTTCCTCTTCTGCAATCTGCTACTGTTCATGTATGCTAACTATCCCAAGTTGTAGGTGTCATGGCTTGTGCATACCCACCCCCCAAAAGATAGATGAAAAAATGACTTTAAATGCAGTTGATAGCTGCATACACCTGCAACCCCAGCAGGTACTTTAATCAACAGTAGAAAGATCAGGAGTTCAAGGCCACCCTTCACCATACAGTGAGTTTGAGGCTAGCCTGGGCTATGTGAGACCTTGTCTTAAAATGTAGCTGACTTATTCTTTCCTCCTGGTTTGAGAGCCCTGTCTCTGTGCCACAAGTGAGTCATGGCCACCTGGCACTTCTGTGGGTGCCAAAAGTCTGTGACCTGTAGAGTATGGAACTTACTCTTGTTTTAGGCAGGAGAAGACTCAGCTTTCTATGCCCTAAAGCTAGAAGTTGGCCCATAATTAATATATATTAAGATTTATATTCATAACTCCTAAGTTGACAGTTTTAGTCTGAGCATGCACGTCTGTCAAATAAGCTAAGTTCTCTACTGATTACATTTAGCAGGAAAAACACTTCAGTATGTCCACATGAACTCGATGATATGAAGATGGTTCAAGCTGGGCATGTGCCTGTTACTCCAGGACTGCAATGTTAGCACTCTGGTACTCGGATACAAGAGGTCGGTCAAGAATTCCAGGCCAGGCTGGGCATAGTGGTGCACACCTTCAGTCCTAGCACAAAGACAGAAGTAGAAGCAGGCAGATCCCTGGGAGCTCGAGGCCAGCCTGGTCTACACAGTGACTGAGGACAACAGGTCAATCTGTAAACACAACGGAGCAACTCAGTGCTCTGGCTGCCTCTTCTCTTACCTGATGGACTATCTGAGAAATGCGAGCCCCCGGTACTGCTGAGCCAGGCTGAGATGCAGTCTCTGAAGTGTTACTCTTGTGGGAATCTTCCATAATCAACTGAAAGGAAAAAAGCCAGGTGCTCAGAAGGCTAGAACCACCACAGTCACATGAAATCTGACCAGTCAGCTGCCTTTACAACAGAAAACTAGCAGTAACAGTACTCAAACACCAGAGTATGTTTATACATATATAAAAGGGGCCTCCTAACAACAGGAGAAGACCTGTTTCTCCAGTCTAGGGATGAGTCATAGCTTTGTAAAGATAATTTATTGAGTGGTGGCACATGCCTGTAATCCCAGCACTTGGGAGGCAAAGGCAGGCAGATGATCCCTGTGAGTCCAAGGCCATCCTGGTCTACAAAGCAAGTCCAGGTTACAGCCAGGGCTACACAGAGAGACCCTGTCTCTAAAAACAAAAAAAAAGGTAATTTATTAACAGCTTAACAAACATAAAGGGCAGGGCGTGATGATGCTCAACTTTAATTCCCGTACCCAGGAGGCAGAAGCAGGTGGATCTGGGCTACACAGTGAGACTAACAAATACACACACACACACACTCAAATGACCAAATGATCTGAACATTAACTCAGGGGATATGCAGACTGAGAAAACGAGAATAAATGATGATTAAATTATGTGACATGGAAGAAGAACCACTAACAAAAAGATTGGTAAAATATTTGGGTAGAGTCTGGGTTTTTATGGTTAATGCAAGACTAGAGATACAGCCTAGTAGTAGAGAGGGTTTATGTAGTGTGCATGAGGTCTTGGGTTCTAGCCTTAACAACACCCAAAACACCCTGAAAGACAAACTAGCCTTGCACCTACATGTAGCTCTATATACAGTCCCAGGCTAGCCAGGACTACCCAGTAAGACCCTATTTTAAAAACATAAAGGAGGAAGACGGGAAGAAGAAGAAGATCTGAGAAAGTACATGTGCATATGCCCAAGCTTCAGCTGTAGGTCACTGACGCTACGGACCTAGTCGTCCCTGCTTTCTAAACAGCTGTTTTAAAATCTTATTTTATGAGCACGGGTGTTTGCTTGCATGTATGTGTGTACGTCTGCCTGGTGCCCCAGGGGGGCCAGAAGAGGGTGTTGGATTCCCTGGGACTGGAGTTACAGACCCTGTGGGTGCTGGGAACTAAGCCCAGGTTCAAGAAAGAGCAGTCAGCGATCCTACTCACCAAGCCATCTCTCCAGTCCATGAAAACGTTAGCTGTATAAAATGCAGAGGACATTTTTTCATCTTAGTATTTTATCTTTCGTATTTGGTATTTTTTGAGACAAGGTCTACCCTGGGCTGGCCTGGAGCTCTCTCTGTAAACCAGGTCGTCCTTGAACACACAGATCTGACTGTCTCTGCCGCCTGAGTCCTGGGATTAAGTGTGTCCCCTGGCCTGGCTCACCACTTTTGAATGTACAGTTGTGCTGACCACACTCACAGTTGCACACCACGTCCGTTAGTGACTGCTTTTCTACCAGCGACTGCTACTTCCCGGAAGGAGAATCAGTCTTTCTGTAGCTGCCTTACCTCACTTGGCACAGGAGCCCAATTCGGCCATACCATGGCTCCTGTCAGGATTTTCTGGGTTGTAAGTCTGAGTAACACCCCCTGGAATGTACACCCACGCTGCTTACCCCTCCATGTACTGACAAATACTTAGGTTGTTTCAGTCTCCCAACAGCTACAAACATGGACAACAATTATCTCTTCAAGACATGCTTTTGCCAGGCATGGTGTTGAGGGTAGAGCTTAGACAGCGGCTCTCAATCTTCCTAACGCTGCTACCCTTTAACGCATTCCTCATGTTGTGGTGACCCCAACCATAAAGTATTGGGTGCTACTTCATAACTGTGACTTTGCTGTTATAATCATAATGTGAGTACCTGATAATGCAGAGTATGTGATATGGAAGCCCCGGGCTGAGAACCACTGTCTCAGGAGGTTGAAGCTAGCCTGGTTTATATAGTGAATTCCAGGACAACCAGGGCTACATCAAGACCCTATCTTGAAAGGACAAAGAAAAAAGAGCTTGCTCCACATTCTCTTTGAATGTATAGCGACAAGGAAAGCTGCCAGCTCAGGCCTTCCTTCTGCTGTACAGCTGAGGGACTACAGCAATGCGGATTTTAATGCCAACCGAGCATTAAACCTTCCCACAGCACATCAGGATTCAAGCTGGTTCACCACAGCCCTGCCAGCACTTCATTATATTGTGGTTGGTTCTCCTCTCCTGCTGATTAATGATGTCGAACATCCCTCCATATTCGCGCTAGCCAGCCTTTTCCTTTTATTGTCTTTAGTCTGGCCTCTAGCATGCTGAGTACTGGGATTACAGAAATGCCACCATGACTGCCTCAGACAACAATTAATTTTTACTCTCCAGATGTAAGCTATTGTTACCACTGAAAAAAGCACAAAATCACCTCCTATATGCCTTCACAAGGGCAGGGCGGAGATGGCCATTACAGACTGTCCTGGGAGAACTGTAAAGACCAAGTACAGATTTCTCATCTGGTGAGTAAGTGAAGGGGCCCCAGTTTTTCTTTCCTTGAAAATGATACTGCACTGTGCTAAGCTTGGGGAAGGTAGGCCCCTTCCCACAACTACTAGTGACCCAGAATCTCCTTCAGATCCTCAAATGCTCCTGGCCCGCCAACACGATTGCCCCCCCCTGGAAGGCTCATTTACTCTCGAGGTAGACCTGCATGACGCGCTCCTTAGGCTGGTCTAGAAGCTAGCTGTATACCCTGTCACATTTTCCCTCTTCTAAGGCACCTGCCACAGTCTCATTTTTCTCCCTCAGAATGTGAGCCCTAGGAAGCCAATCAGAACATCCCTTCCCTACACAGCGCCAACACCTTCCCACTTAACATCGTAAACAAAACCACGTGCATACTTCCAATGAAAACTGATGAAATACAGGCTACAGAAATACCCTCACAGCAGCCCAGCTGTAGACACAGGCCCCTGAAGCAGAGGACCTCAGGAAAGGGGTTTAGGTTTCTTCTGACGTGACTACCACCTACTGGAAATAAGGACTACCGCAGCTCTGCCAGCCAAAACTATCACAGAGAACTTAGGAGCTGTCACATCCAACTTTGGGACATCTGAGTTTCCTGTTTTGCTTTCAAGCACTGAGTATGGCGTGTGCTAAGCAAACATTTTCTGGCTTGGCTACATTCTAATGGCACTAAAACTGTTGGGGGAGGGGTGAAGCAACCAGCTTCTTAAACACAATCTTTACTGGCAAGAAGATGTGTTTTGTGCACATAAATCCTATGCAAAGTCTTACCACAGGGCAGGCCAGTTTTACAAAGCCCCTATCACAGCTAGGCTGAAATGGCCTCAGATGTCAAGAGGCCCTTCAAGACATGGGCCCAGTGCTCAAGGCGGGACTGCTGTGAGTTCTAGGCCAAACTGAGCTACCGAGTTTAAGGCCAGTTGAGGACAGAGTCTGAGGCCTTTCTCAAAGAAGCAAACACCCCAAAATCTAACTGCTCGGCGGTTAAAAGGTCTTACAGCTTCCATAGGGCCGCAGGCCAGTGGCTGGCACCGGCCCACAGCCTCTAAGTCCGGATCCAGGAGACCTGACACCCTGTGGCCTCCTCGGGCACCTGCAGGCAGCTGGTGCACACAGCCGTATGCAGGCACACACGCAGCCATGTAAATCAGAACAAGGCGCTCTCACTGCCGAACTGGCTGGCTTGTACGGCGCAGACTCAGAACGGCCTGCGGTGCTCCAAGCCGGCCTGGACTACAGCGTTTTCTTTAGACAAGGCTTGGGAGGCCCTGTCTCGGGCAGAAGTACAAACGCTGCCATAACCCGGGCCCGGCGACCACGTCTAGGAAGTGGTGCGCCAGGAACTCTACCAAACAAACCCCGTCTCAAAAAGGAAAAAAAAAAAAAAAAGGCGGCTACTGAGAACTGAGTTTCGTAACTTCGGCGGCCCGGCGCGAGTCACCCGGAAGCAGAGCAAAGCACCGCGACCCCGCCCTCCCCGCCGCGCGGGTTGCCTCGGTCTCCCCGTCCTCCCGGCGAAGCCCGAGGCCACGTGGGCGCGCTCGCGGCGTCGGCAAGCGCGCCCCGGGGAGCGGAGCCCAACGCCCGGGCGCTCGGCCGGAAGCCGCGAGCGCGCGCGGCGC